TCATGACTCAGCCACCTGAGTAGCTGGGATAACAAGTGTGCACCAACATGCCTGGCTAAATTGTTATATTTTTTGTAGAGACAGAGTATCACCATGTTGGCCAGGCTAGTCTTGAACTCCTGGCCTCAAGTTCTCTGACCTCCTCAGCCTCCCAAAGTACTGGAATTTTACAGATGTGAGCCACTGCACCTCTCCTAATGTTTCTAGTTTTAAAAATATATGTAGATGTTGGGCATGGTGATTCATGACTATAATCCCAGCACTTTGGGAGGCCAAGGCAGGAGGATAACCTGAGGTCAGGAGTTTGAGACCAGCCTGGCCAACATGGCAAAACCCCGTCTCTACTAAAAATACAAAAATCAGCTGGGCATGGTTGCAGGTGCCTGTAATCCCAGCTACTCAGGAGGCTGAGGCAGGAGAATCCCTTGAGCCTGGGAGGTGAAGTCTGCAGTGAACTGAGATCCCACCATTGCACTCCAGTGTGGGCAACAGAACAAGACTCCATCTCAAGAAAATAAATAAATAAAAATCTTTGTGGAGTTAAAATTTATGATGGTCATAGCACAAAAGGAAGGGGAAATAATAGACTTAAAATATTGCAAAATCCTTATATTGTAAAAGAAGTGGTAAAAATACTATTTTAGGGTAGCCTCTGCTAGGTCAAAAATTCATGCTATAACATATATGGTAAGCACTAAAAGAATAGTAGAATAAAATATTACTAACAAGCTAATGAAGAAGGGGAAGTGTTTTTAAACTTAATTAATGCAAAGAAAGGCAAGAAACACAACAAGGAACATAAATCAGGCAGGACAAACAGATGGTAAATTTAAAACCCAATATACCAGCAAAATCATTAAAATATGCTGAACTAACTACTCCAATTATAAGACAAAGTCAGCTGAATGGATTTTAAAACATGAAACCTAATTATGTTGCTTTTAAGACACCATTCTTGAAAATAAGGTCTCCAAAAGATTGAAAAGTTAAAGAATGGGAAAAGATGTGCTGTACAAATGCTAATACAAGGAAAGCTAGTTTAGTTAACCTAATAGCAGAAGAAATAAGCGGTAACACCAGAGTTATTTGTCTTTTGATTGTGAGTTTCATAGTCATTTTATAATGATAAAAGTGTTAATAACTAGATAAATAAAGCTATTATTCTTTTTTTTTTTTTTTTTTTTTTTTTTTTGAGAGGGAGTCCTGCTCTGTTGCCCAGGCTGGAGTGCAGTGGCACGAATCTCATCTTACTGCAACCTCCGTCTCCTGGGTTCAGGCAATTCTCCTGCCACAGCTTCTTGAGTAGCTGGGATTACAGGTGTGCACCACCACATCTGGATAATTTCTGTATTTTTAGTAGAGACGAGGTTTCATCATGTTTACCAGGCTGGTCTCAAACTCCTGGCCTCAAGCGAGCAGCCCGCCTCAGCCTTCCAAAGTGCTGGGATAACAGATGTGAGCCACCGTGCCTGGCCAATAGAACTATTCTAAATAGGTTTGCACAAAAAAGCAGAGCCTCAAAGTGTATTAAACAAAATGCCAAAACAAAATTTGAGAAATAAAAAAGTCCACACTCACAGCTGCAAATGTGAACACACCTCTCTAAATAACAAGCAGACAAATAATATCAGTGAGGATTAGGAAGACTGAAACTGCATGTTGAATAAAGTTGCAGTGATGGATATGTGGAAACCGTATGCAATTGCAGGATAAAGATTATTTTCAAGGGAACACAGAACAGTTAACCAAAAACAGGCTTGGACTAGGCCAAAGAGTAGCCCTCAATAAATATCAAAAGATTGAAATCCTATGGAAAAAGTGTTCTAACAATCACAATTAAGCTAAAATCATTAGCACAATTGTAGTTTAAAAATACCCAAATGTTTTACACATAAAGAAAGAACATCGTCAAAAAAATTATACTTAGAAAATAATGAACTGAACGGCAATGAAAATACGAAAAACCACAACTTATAGCAAGCAGTTAAGCAGTGCAAGGAGAGAAACAGTCTCAAATGTATTCATTTTTTCTAAAAGAGAAAGGACAAAAATTAAGTCACGTAAACATTCATCTTCAGAAGCTAGAAGAGAACAGCAAATGAAACTCAAAGAAGAAAATGTTAGACATAACAAAAAATAAAATCAATGGAATAGAAAATAGGAAAGATTAGCAAAGCCAAATGAGTCATTTGAAAAGTCTAATAAATATGAGAGAGAGTGTTCATGCCTAGAATGGAAAAAACACAAGTTATTAATATCTGAAATGTAAAAAGGGACATGCCTACATATCTTTCTCAGTTTACTGCAGCCTCTGCCCCTGGAGTTCAAGTGATAATTGATTCTCCCGCCTCAGCCTCCCAAAGAGCTGGGACCACAGTGGGATGTCACCATACCCAGCTGATTTTCGTAGATTTTGTAGAGACAGGGTTTCGTCATGTTGCCCAGGCTGGTCTTGAACTCCTGAACTCAACCAATCTTCGTGCCTCAGCCTCCCAAAGAGCTGGAATTACAGGTGTGAGCCACCACGCCTGGCCTAATTTGCCCACTTTTTAATCGGGCTGTTTGATTTGGGCTCGTTAATCTGTGCAAGTTCCTTGCTGATTCTGGATATTAGGCTTTTGTCAGATGCATAGTTTGCAAATATTTTTTCCCATTTTGTAGGTTGTCTGTTTACTTCATTAATAGTTTCTTTTGCTGTGCAGAACCTCTTTAGTTTAATTAGGGCCTATTTGCCAAATTTTGTTTTTGTTGCAATTGCTTTTATTTTAATTAATTAATTTTTATTTATTTATTTGAGACCCAGTCTCATTCAGCTGCCCAGGCTGCAGTGCAGGGGCACGATCTCGGCTCACTGCAACCTCCGCCTCCCAGATTCAAGCGATTCTCCTGGTTCAGCCTCCCGAGTAGCTGAGACTACAGGTGCAAGACACCCCATCTTACTAATTCTTGTATTTTTAGTAGAGATGGGGTTTCACCATGTTGGCCAGGCTGGTCTCAAACTCCTGATTTCAGGTGGTCTGCGCCCCACTTGGCCTCCCAACGTGCTGGGATTACAGGTGTGAACCACCACGCCCAGCCTGCAATTGCTTTTAGATTTTCTGTTTTTATTTTATTTTCAGCAGTTTTTGCCTATTTTTTCTTTATGGAAAAATACGATTTTTAGCTTAACTTAGTTATTTTCTTACTGTAACAGAAAGTAAATCTCTATCTTCCCCCAATATTCATTCATTCTAAATATTTTGTTTTCTCTTAGCAATCTATCTCTTGATTAGGAAAAATAATTCTAGCCAAACCTAAATCAGTTCAGCTTCGTGGTCGATAGCTATACTTAGGAAGGAGAAACTGAAAGTTAGTAAAAATAATAATAATAATTTTTCAGTTGTTTTTACTATTCCTGACTATAACCTCCATGTTGTTAAAAGGTAAATGTATATTATTCTTGAATATTTCAGAACATGTTGGTTAGCAGCCATATTGTATTTCTACTGCATGTTAACCTTATTCTAAAATGAGACTCGTTACCTGAGTGTTAGGATTTTCCCAGAGAATGTGTGCAGAGCTTTCTACCAAAGCCTGCACAATCATCTTTTATCTAATTTGTCAATTCAGTCAGATGATCAGTAAGTTTAGTGAAGAGAAAAATTATTTCAGATATAATTAATTTGGGTGACATTTTTAAAATTAGTTACTGGACAAGGATTGAATAAAGCTAGTATTTTAATGTCTGCAGACATACTCAGTAGAGAAAAAAGGGAACTTGACCAAATTGATGTGTGAACTTTGGCACTAAATAAAATTATCATTTACATATCTAACTCAGCATACTGACAAAATATCATTTTCTACATGTGTGAATTCAATCTCTGTAAGTTCATTTACATCTAATTACTGCTCTAACTTCTAGGCAACTTACAAATTTAGCAAGTGTAGAATAAATTTATCTCATACAAAGGGTTAGTAATCAGGTTTATAAGAAATTCTAAGACTGTTGACCATCCATGATTTCAGACATTATGTGATAGAAGTTTCCATAAAATAATTTGTGATTTTGGTTTTTGGAGTCTCGCTTCATTGCTGCGGCTGGAGTACAGTAGTGTAATCTCAGCTCACTGCCGCCTCCACCTCCTGGGTTCAAGTTATTCTTGTGTCTCAGCCTCTTGAGTAGCTGGCATTACAGGCATGCGACACCACGCCCAGCTAATTGTGCATTTTTAGTAGAGAGGGGGTTTCTCCATGTTGACCAGGCTGGTCTCGAATGCCTGACTGCAAGTGATCTGCCAAACCTCTGCCTTCTTAAGGGCTGGGGTTGCAGGCGCGAGCCACTGTGCCTGCCCTAATTTGTAATTCTTATATAAAAAGATATTTACTTTGCATTTTTTATGATATAAAAACGGATCAATCTAATTAAACATTAATCAAAGCAGTTATCTGGTACTAATTTTTGTTCCCTGATGGAGTGCAAGCTCCATGGGTGCCCTGATTGTCTAGCTTGTTTGCTGTTATGCCTCTGGTGTTTCCTCTAGTTCTTGCTTTATGTAGGCACTTGGTAAGTATGTCTCCCAAATAAATAAATAAATACAATATGAAAAGAAAACTTTTAGCTATTGAAATTTTAAAAATTTAATCATTGCATTGTTATACAGGCATAACCTAATTTTTTTATGCTTTGTCAGATGTTCCTATTACTTTCCTTTAAGTCATAGGGTAAATTAGGAAATGCTAATCTCATACTTCCATAATACACAATATATAAATGATCAAATAAAACTTCAAGGTGGTTCTATTTTTTAAGTTACAGACAATCTCCCAGAGGCTCATCTGTATTTAGTGCTAAATGCCAAATAGAAGAACATAAATACAAAAATCATTTTTCTAAGATCTTGCTAGTCCTAGGCAAAGTTCTCTGCATGGTAGCTTAATTTCTCCACAGTGACCAAGTGGAGGCCACTGTGAAATAACCCAGTGGGAGCTTCAAGATAAGACTTTAGAGGCAGCTCTTGTGGAGGCAGCTGTCTCGAGGATGGGGAGCGTTAAGCCACGTGTCATGCCCTGCACTGCCCAGACTAGTGAACAATACAGTCAGGATGGCTAGAGGTGACCCCAAGAAACCAAAGGGCAAGGTGTCTGCTTATGCCTTCTTTGTGCAGACGTGCAGAGAAGAACATAAGAAGAAAAACCCAGAGGTCCCTGTCAGTTTTGCAGAATTTTCCAAGAAATGCTCTGAGAGGTGGAAGACAATGTCCAGGAAAGAGAAATCTACATTTGATGAAATGACAAAGGTGGATAAAGTGCGCTATGATCAGGAAATGAAGGGAGCAGCTAAGGGAGGCAAGAAGAAGGATCCTGATGCCCCCAAAAGGCCACCATCTGGATTCTTCCTGTTCTGTTCAGAATTTCGCCCCAAGATCAAATCCACAAACCCTGGCATCTCTATTGGAGACGTGGCAAAAAGGCTGGGTGAGAGGAGGAATAACCTAAGTGACAGCGGAAAGCAGCCTTCCATCACTAAGGCGGCAAAGCTGAAGGAGAGGAATGAGGAGGATGGTGCTGAATATAAGTCGAAAGGAAAGTTTGATGGTGCAAAGGGTCCTGCTGAAGTTGCCTGGAAAAAGGTGGAAGAGGAAGATGAAGAAGATGAGGAGGAAGAAAAGGAGGAGGGTAGGAGAAGGAGGAGGATGAATAAAAAAACTGTACATCTGTCTCCTTGTGAATACTTAGGGGAGCACCATAATTGACACATCTCTTATTTGAGAAGTGTCTGTTTCCCTCATTAGTTTAATTATAAAATTTGATCACGAGCATACTTCTCTCAAAGTGCTCTAGAGACTGTCAGTGGGTTACATGAAGTGGAGAAGCTGTATCAAAGTTGTACATTTTCTAAACATTTTTAAAGGAAAAGGCATTCTCATGTTCTCCTCACTCTGTCCATTTTGCTGTTGGTGTGACAAGTCATTTAAAGATGTTTCTGGCTTTTTTTTTTTTTTAATTTCTAAGGTGGTGTTAACTATATGGTTATTGGCTAGAAATCCTGAGTTATCAACTGTATATATCTATAGTTTATAAAAATAACAAAACAACCAAGAAAAAAAAAGATAAGATTTTAGATAGTATGATTACGTGTAATTTCAGGTATCTTGGAAATAATTTGGGGGTTTGAACTGAAAATCTCAGGATTCAAAGCCACTCTGAGCTCACCGTCAGAACTGTGTTTTTTTCTAATCCATCACATGTAGAGGTCTTATCCAAAACCAAATAAATCACTGTCAAGCTGCTTAGGCATCTGTAAGGATTAAATCAAGATTCCAACATGAAATAATTTGCATACTAAAAGGAAATCTGCCATTTGAGTTCATCTAAGTTTTAAAAGCATCTACGTAGTTCCACACTTGTTCAAGGGGAAAACTGTTAGCTGAATAAGCAACACCTGAAATTACAAGTCCCATTTGGACCACCTGTCATGGTCACTGTGTGGGACCTAGGGTCATCTAAGGTTTTTGCTATGTTTAGTTGGCAATATTCATGCATGGAAATAATGCCTTTTCATTGAATCACATCGTTTTAAAATGCTTGTATTTGTTTTTTTATGCAAAGATTTTAGAAAGGACATGAAAATAGTTCACATTTTTCATTTGGTTTCATTTTGTAAATAGATTCACATTACAAATGTCTTTAACTAAATTGTGGAGAAGAACTTTAACTATATATGTCAGTCTTGGCTGACTAAATTTAACATCCCAGTACAATTATTTAAAATGAATTAATTATAAGATTGAATGACCTATGAAAGGAAATAATTTTGGGACTTTCCAGAGAAATATTCACCAATTTGACTCTGAAATTGCTAATTCAGACAATTTATGATCTAGTAATTAAGTCTTTAAATAAGTAAAAAAAAAAAAAATCATCACACTGACCTGTTTTCACTTACTGATAAGTCTAATTTTTTTTTTTTTTTTTTTTTTTTTTTTTTTTTTTTTTTGAGATGGAGTCTTGCTCTGTCACCAGGCTGAGTGCAGTGGCACGATCTCAGCTCACTGCAACCTCCATCTCCCTGGGTTCAAACGATTCCCCTGCCTCAGCCTCCTGAATAGCTGGAACTACAGGTGCGTGCCACCATGCCTGGTTAATTTTTTGTATTTTAGTAGAGACGAGCGTTTCACCATGGCCAGGATGGTCTCGATCTCCTGACCTCATGATCTGCCCACCTCAGCCTCCCAAAGTTCTGGGATTACAGGCATGAACCACTGTGCCCAGCCAACTTTTTTTGGTTTTCTTTGGTGACAGAGTCTCCCTCTGTTGCCCAGGCTGGAGTGCAGTGGCAAAATCTTGGCTCACTGCAACTTCCACCTCCTAGGTTCAAGGGATTCTCCTGCCTCAGCCTCCTGAGTAGCTGGGACTACAGGCATGTGCCACCACACCCAGACAATTTTGCTTTTTTTTTTTTTTTTTTTTTTTTTTTGTAGAGACAGGGTTTCACCATGTTGGCCAGGCTGGTCTCAAAACTACTGACCTCAGGTTATCCACCTGCCTCAGCCTCCCATAGTGCTGGGATTACAGGTGTGAGCCACTGTGCTCGGCCTGATATGTCTACTTTTAAAAGTGACTTGCTAAGCCATATTTATCTCAAACAATGTTCAGTGTTCTTTAGTTGCAGAGTATTTTGAAAATTTGGTTTAGTTTTAGAATTGGTTAACTAGTTTTAAATTCTTAGCATACTATATCCCATCCCATGGAATGTTAAAATACATTACATCATCCCGTTTGTCTATTTCTTTGGACTATCTCTGCTAAAAGAGCTTTTAGAAAAAAAAAACTGTCAATAGAAACCTGAGCTTCCTCAGCAGAACAAAGCCTTGAGAAGAACACAATTCACTGTTTTGTATTCGAATGCATGTGTGTGTGTTCTTTTAAAAACTCTTTTCATTTGTACGATGACAGATTTCAGATGGGCATTAATCTGAGCGTGGAACACCACACCCTGGTGTTTGGAATCAGTCCCTTCATTGCCTTGATGATTCAGCCCATCATGATGACTGTGGTTGACAACCAAGGACTGGAGCTTCCTGTTGACATTCAGGTAAGTGCATGGCCACTGTGCTTTCATGGACAAAGAAGCCTATTTTCAAAACTATGCATCTGTATCTATTTATCTTTATACTTTTAAAATCAGATTCAATGATAAATAATTTACACGCAGTAAGTTCACACGTTTTATGTACAGTTCTAAGAATTTGGGCAAATGTACAGCTGTGTGACCACCACAACAATGAAGATAAAACAGAGTTTCATCAGCCCAAACTGTGCCCTTGTGTTCCCCTGCCGCCAGTCCCCTCTCCCCACCCCTCATCCCTGGTCACAACTGATTGATTTTTATCCATATACTTGGTCATTATATTGCCGTATCAATGGAATTATTTTATATATAGCCTTTTGTTTCTGGTTTCTTTCACTTAGCATAGTGTCTTCAATGGAATAACTTTGTATTAAGAAATAGATTTATGGTGTAGTTAAGGCACATTCTATTTCTTAAGAAACCTTTTCATTAAACAGGTGGCCTTTTCACTTAACAGGTAAAGGAATGAAAGAACTGCATAAAATAAAGCTGTAAGGCCATTCCAGTGGAAGTGGTTCTCATTAGCTACAGCAAAAACTTTTTCCTTGCCCTAGCTAAAGTTCAATCTCATTAAAGATTAGTTCACAAATTCCCTAAATCTACTCTGTCTCATGGACAAAATCGTCATTCTCACCTATCTCTATAAACAGGTAATTTCTAGAAAATGTTTAGAAGCTATCTTCTTTAAAAACAAAAGGCAAAAAGAAATCATTTCAGAATACAAAATTAAATGTAGTAACACCAAGACATTTTTTAAAAATCAATTTTGTCATCTCATTTGTTCAACAGAGGAAAAGATTGCTTCCATTTAATAAATCTTAACACTAAGATTCATGTATGCTTGTTTGAGGCCATTCAGCATGCAAGTATTACTTTCCAAAATAAAACTTAATTTATTAATTTACTATCTTGTTGGCAAATTGCTCTTCAGTTTTTCAGAAATCATTCTGTGTATCATATATTAGAGAGAAAACAAGCTTGAAATCAGCAAAATCTGGTTTTGAATTTTGATGTTTATTAGTGACATGTTAAAAACTTTTCATTTTGGGAAATTTCAAATACAGAAAACATTTTGAAACAATAGTATAATGAAACCTCACTTTCTCCTTACTCAACTTTAACGAGTATCAATTCATGGCTAATCTTGTTTCATCTGTACCCATGAGACTTCTGACCCCTGCTTCTAGATTATTCTAAAGTAATCCCTAAAGTGAAATGTTTTTTTAATATCTCAATTTTCTCATTAATAAAATGGAGGCTATAAATAAGACTTACTTATTCTTACACAGGTTAAGTGCTGGCCTCTACACCACACTATTCCTGGCTTTTAGTGTTGTTAATATACAAACCTATCTCTCTCTCTCTCGCTCGCTCTCTCTTTCTCTCTCTCTCTCTTTTCCTAATTGAAAAAAAAATAACATCTATTTCCATTAGTCAACATGGTTAGGAGGCACTTACCTTTTCTAAAGACTTTTACATTAATCAGCTCGAGATATTTCCTTTACTTTTCCACAAATCCGTTATATCCTAATTTGAAATGAATGAATTCCTGTAACTGAATTAGGTAAAATCAGACTAGAAATGAAAATAACCCATCAATCCTATTCTCCTTTCTGCCACTATTTTGTGTGACCTAATTTAAGTGTCTTGTTTGTTGGCAAATCAATACCTTTTGCTCTGTCTTCAAAAGGGAGGAGGTCACGCAAGCATTAAAAGCTGAAAACAAATCTAAAATATGGCAGAAAAATTCAAGCTTTACCTTTTGTATCTCCTGATACTTCAAAATTTCCAAATCCTTGACCAAGAGAAATATAGATTTAAGTCACTCCTCTAAAATCTTTGTGTTGCTACCACATCTTCTCTGTTAGTCTCTGCTGACAGCCTCAGTGCTGGAACAACTTTCAATTCAGTTCTTCCAGGGAAAGTTACGTTACAGCTCAGTCGCTAAAGAAGAGACCAGTTTACCCAGGTACAGAGGAGAATAAGCAAAAACATACAGCTCAAAGGCATAACAGAAGACAAGTCCTATTCCTATAAAATATTTCCCCGGACCAAAAAGAAAAAAGATGTTATTAAAAATGGCTGGTCCTGAACACTGTCCTTCTTAAAAATTGGTTTTTGGTAGAAATCTAATTAAATATGCTTGCATTCGGTTTTTAAGAGCTAATAATATGGAAATACATTGATTAGTAACTCCCACATCTCAGTGTGCAATGTCCCTTTGTCCCTGACTCTGCACTCGTGAGATTCCACTAATAGGATGCCAGATGCCGTTTGTAAAAGTTAGAATCTAAAAAGTAGAAAATACAAACTGAATCAGCATTTTTCTCTGACACAGAGATTCAGCAAAGAGTAGGCAGCATCAAGACTTCCTGAAGCAATTCCTTCATGTTCCCAGCGTTTCTCAAGCTGCTATCACAACGTAAGCTATTTACGGATTTTAAAAGATCTTAGAGGATTTATAAAGATCTTAAAAAGAGGTTTCAAGACACATCTTTGAAGAGGACTGAAAGATTAGGGGAGGAGACCCATGAGAAAAGTTAAAAGAAGCATTTTTATCTCAACTAGAAAAAGCTGAGGAGTAATTTAGTAATAATTACTAAGCCAGTTATGGAAGAAGTGGTATATATAATCATCTTTACTGAAGGCATAAGAATATAATGTGGTTACCTAATGATATAAAATGATTTTCTGGCAGAATCTTATTTGCGAAAATAGATGAAATCCACAAGTTTGAATATAAGAGGGATTTGGAAGGGGTGGGTAAATAACCACACATCTCAAATAAGCTTACTTTTTAAAAAAAATAAACCTTTAGTTAGGTAAATGAAGTAATAGCACCCCACAGATTTTACACCAGAACACTCAACTCTTGGCTACCTGTTACCAGACCTCTTCATCCCTCTCATCACCCCCCACTTCCCCACTTTCATCCCCCAGTTTGCAGAGATAACTTTTGGAATGAGAAACAGATGGAGTAAGCATCCATTTCTTCTTGATCATGGAAATTGACAGTAAGACCCCTCTGTCATTCACTAATTTCCTTCCCTTCACTGTCTTCCTCCCGGGATGGTCTTGAGGCTTAAGATGCAAAAAGCAACTCTTGCCACCAAGTTTGGGGAGTACAGATAATCTTTTTTTAAAACGGAAAAGGCCCGTGGTGCCAAGTGCCCCCTTGACATCACAGAAACCACAGCTACTGTGCTGCTCTGCCCTCATTTTCCTCACTGGAAAATGCACAGTGACCCTGCCCCGTGCTCACAGCCAGCAGCCGGTGACTCAGCCACTCTAGGACCAGCTGATGGCCTCTGATTGCACCCTCCATTAGATTAACCAGCTAGCATAACTGGTACTTTAATCTACCTTTAATTAAATAAAAGTTAGAATTACGAAAATGGATTTTTAGTTGCAACCCCAAAGGGATTAGTAAGGAAAGGGGCACTCTGCATAGAAAGATCACCTCCCAAAAAGTCAAACACAGTGATGATATTATTTTAAGCACATGAAATGAGGATTCCTTTGGATTTGGAATCGGCTCACATACATCAAATGGATATTTTTCAGTGTGTGTAGAGCATTTCGTATTTGAGAGTCCAGATAGCCCAGATGAGTGCTCTCACTATATTCATGAACTCGAACACAGCATGTGTGTGGTCTATCAGCCTTAGGTTCCACTATTTCATAAACTATTTTTTGGTGTCTTTTAGAATAGCTGAAGTTGAAGGCCACATTTTCTTTCTTTTCTTTTTATTTTGAAAGTATTGCTTTGTCACCCAGGCTGGGGTACAATCTCGCCTTCCAAGTAGCTGGGATTACAGACACATTCTACTACACTTGGCTAATTTTTGTATTTTAGTAGAGACAGGGTTTCGCCATGTTGGGTAGGCTGGTCTCGAACTCCTGACATCAGTTGATCCACCCACCTCGGCGTCGCAAAGTGCTGGGATTACAAGCACGAGCCACTGTACCTGACCTAGATTTTCATTATCAAACAAAACAAACTCTTTAAATGGATTTTCAGACAGTTTGGGTCCTGATCATTTAGACATTGCCTTGTTTTCTTACTTTTCTGTCTTAATGGAGATGGTCTCCACACAATTACCTTAGGGAGAATGGGATTGAGGGTTGAGCTTAAAGGAGAAGGGGGTACCATGGCTTGACTACAACACCAAAGCTCATGCTCAGGCTTGGTGACCAGTGTGGCAGTGTTGAGAAGTAGTGTCTTTAAGAGGTGATTAGGTCATTCAAGAGGGATCAATGCCTTTCTCCTGAAAGTAAACTCTTGTTCTCTTGGGGATGAATTAGTTACCACCAGAGTGAATTGTTAAAAGCAAGGCTGCCTCTCGTGTTTGGTCTCTGCACACACACTTCCCCTTCCTTCTCCACCATATTATGACACAGCATAAAGTGAAGCCCTTGCCAAAAGTCAGCCAGGTGCTGTCACCTGATCTTGGACCTCCCAGCCTCCAGAACTATGAGCTAAATATGTCTCTTTTCTTTACAGATGTTTTAGTCTCAGGTATTCTTAGTCAACAGAACATGGACTAAGATGGGGACTTTAGGGTTGTTTGAAATTTAAACAAATTTCAGTAAGTATTTTTAATTATTTTTTTAAGAAAAGCTTATTTATTAAAGGCAGCAGACTTCAAAAAAAATAATAAACTAAGAAAAGCTTACTTTCATTAGGCAACAACAGACTGGATATCAGAAAAATCTTGACACCACAAAACCCTTGTATTTCATGGATATAAATTTAATTTAAAAAATAAATGGCTGAATGGGTAAAAACTAAGAAAAATCCTCAGATGCCAAAGCAAGACCAGGATGCAGATAGATAGATAAGGAAGCATTGACTCTGCTGTGTATGCTGGGATTACAGGCATGAGCCACCATACCTGGCCCAGATCCTCATCCACATCCTCAGTAAATGGTGAATCAGAACAAAATACAAAATGACAGGGAGAAAATTCCTAACGAAGAAGACTAATCTAGGTGGAGTCTGAAGAATATACCCTAAATATTTGCCTTTATAAACCAGCACTCACATAATTCTGGAGTCCAGTTCCTACAGGCTAGACTTTTTTTTTTAATCTGAAAACTTAGTTTAAAGTGGTCCTTATTGGCAATGTCTCCAGGCACCTATATGTATCAAAGGCAAATGATTTCTGAAAGAATGTACCTCAATACAGGAATCAAAATATTGCCAAAAGTAAAATTCTGTAGAATATGATTATGATTTTTTAAAATTCAGAATCATACAAGGATATAAGTTTCATGAACAAGCCAACTGAAGTAATAAATAGCAGAATCAGACCAACAAAGATTTGACATAGAAGAATTATCAGTATTAGAATATAAACTAAATGTTTAATATGTTTACACACAGAGGAAAATAACATCATAAGAACATAACAAGGTATATAATTAGAACATTGTAAGAATAGAACAAAATAATCATGGATTGGGGGGGAAATAGAACTACAGTCATGGGAAGCATAACAATGTTTTGGTTAATGATGAACCATGTATATCAGCAGCCCCAGCCTTTTAGAGACCAGGGACTGGTTTTGTGGAAGACAGTTTTTCCACAAGCCAGGAGAGGGGGAATGGTTTCAGGATGGTTTCAAGTGCATTATATTTATTGCACATTTTGTTTCTATTATATTGCATTGAAATATATAATAAAGTAATTACACAATTCACCATAATGTAGAATCGGTGGGAGCCCTGAGCTTGTTTTCCTGGAACTAAGCACTTCCATCTGGGGGTGATGGGAGACGGTGACAGATCATCAGGCATTAGATTTTCATAAGGAGCACGCAGCTTAGATCCCTCACATGCACAGTTCACAATAGGGTTCACACTTCTATGAGAATTTAATGCCATCACTGATCTGACAGGAAGCAGGGCTCAGGCTGTAATGTGAGCAATGGGGAGTGGCTGTAAATACAGATGAAGCTTCTCTTGCTTACCTGTCTCTCACCTCCTGCTGTGCGGCCCAGTTCCCAACAGGCCACAGACCCTGGTACAGGCCCTTGGTTGAGAACCCCTGGTATATATGACAGTGGTCCCATAAGATTATAGTGGAACTGAAAAATTCCTATCATCTGGTGACATCGTAGCCATCATGATGTTGTATCACAAAACATGACTCATGTGTTTGTGGTGATGCCGGTGTAAATGAACCTACTGCACTGCCATCTTACAAAAGTCTAGCACATGCAATTATGTACAGTATATAATACTTGATAATTATAATAAATGACTGGGTGCAGTGGCTCATACCTATAATCCCAGCACTTTGGGAGGCTGAGGCAGACAGATCACTTGAGGTCAGGAGTTCAAGACCAGTCTGGCCAACATGGTAAAATCCCATCACTACTAAAAACTATATATATATAACTTAGCCAGGCATGGTGGCAGGTGCCTGCAATTCCAGCTATTCAGGAGGCTGAGGCAGGGAGAACTGCTTGAACCAGTGAGGCAGAGGTTGCAGTGAGCTGAGATTCCACCACTGCACTCCAGCCTGGGCGGCAGAGCAAGACCCTTGGAAGAGCAACTTCCAGCCCTGAAGCTCCATTCATGTAAGTGCCCTATACGGGTATAGCATGTTTGATCTCTCATACACATTTTTACCGAATCTTTTCTTTTCTTTTCTTTTCTTTTCTTTTCTTTTCTTTTCTTTTCTTTTCTTTTCTTTTCTTTTCTTTTCTTGAAGATGGAGCTTCACTCTTATTGACCAAGCTGGAGTGCAATGGCACAATCTCGGCTCATTGCAACCTCCACCTCCCGGGTTCAAGAAATTCTTCTGCCTCAGCCTCCCAAGTAGCTGGGATTACACCTGGCTATTTTGTGTCTGTGTATGTGTGTATTTTTAGTAGAAAGGGGGTTTCACCATGTTAGCCAGGCTGGTCTTAAACTCCTGACCTCAGGTGATCTACCCGCCTTGGCCTCCCAAAGTGCTGTTCAGGTGTGAGCCACCATGCCTGGCCTTTTACTGTATCTTTTCCATGTGTGAATATGTTTGGATACACAAATGCTTACCATTGTGTTACAATTGTCTACAGTATTCAGTACAGTAACATGCTGTACAAGTTTGCAGCCTAGGAACACAGGCTATGACATCTAGCCTAAGTCTGCAGTAGTCTATGCCATCGAGGCTTGTATAAGTACAGTGCATGATGGTCACACAATGACAAAATCGCTTAGCAGTGCATTTCTCGGGAAGTATTCCTGTTATTAAGGATGCACGACTGTAGTCAAGATTAGAAGCTTAATAAACAAGCTAAGAGCAATTTAGACATGTATAAAGAAGAAACTATTAAAGTGGAAGAACTCATTTAGAAGTATAGTGCAGAGAGATACAAGTGAAAAAATTATTAACACACATGGAGATAAGAGTGAGAAAATTCCTCAGATACATATTTGGAGTTCCTTAGGGATATAATAAGGTAGAGTGAAAGACAGACAAAGAAATATTCATGGAGAATTTTGCAGATGAAATGAAAGCCATGAATTAGATTTAAGGAAGCCTAACAGCTCTCCAATAGAGTAAATGAAAAGACATTCAAATCTAAACACACTGTAGTGAAACTGCAGAACACCAAAGAAAAAGACATCTTATAAACAGTCAGAAGAATAAAAAGAGCATGCCTGCAGAAGAATGATAATTGGATTGACAAATGACTTCTCAATGGCATGCAATGGGAAGCCAGAAAGTCAGTGGAATAATGTCTTCAAAGTGCTGGAGACAATAATTGCCAGCTTAGCATTGGTTATAAAGAGAAAAACATTTCAGAAATGAGAGTAAAATAAAGACATTCTCAGACAAACAGAAATGGAGTGAGTGAGACACACTCATTGTGTAAGAGTGTAACAGACCCTTATAAAAGTAATTTCTAAAGAATGCAGTCAAGGAAAAAGGAAAATTACCCCGCATATGATGCAAGAGGGAGTGTGAAACAGAAAAGAAAGCATGTGAGTGAATTGAAACGAACACTGGCCATGTAAAACAGTAGTAACGTTTTACATCTTGAAGAATTTTGAAAAACATAAGACTAAAATTCTGGACAATAATAAATTAGAAATGAGAAGACTGTCCAACACCAAAGATTTTTGTACTGTTCTGGACAAAGTAAAAGGTATTAATTAGACATTGCCAGGGTGGCATGCCGAGCAGTGGGGTGGGTAGCAGCCCATCTGGTGGGAAGCATACATTATCACCATCATTATTTAGAACTGCTGGTTCATGGCAACAATAAAATGCAGACAGGCTCTTCGTCAGTTTCACTATTGCTTTTAAATTCTCTGCAGATATTTCTCCTCCTTACTGGCTGTACCCAGGGAAGACCACTTCATCACCAACACTATCGTCCTAACTACTTGGGAGGCTGAGGCAGGAGGATTACTTGAGCCTAGGAGTTCAAGGCTGCAATGAGCTACGATTGTCGTAAGGAATGAGCAACCTAGATCCCTCACATGCACAGTTCATTATAGGGTTCACACAGCCTGGGCAACAGAGCAAGACCCTGTCTCTAAAATATATGTGCATGTGTATATGTGTGTGTACACATACACATACATACATATATTTTTATATGACTATAGTTGGGCATTCTTATATAGATTGTTTTACTTAACATTGTGTTTGTGAGATGAAGTCATTTCTCTGCTTCCCGTTAAGGCAAAAAATTCTGGAAGTGTTATCTATTTCCTGTCTCTAATTCCTCTTCTCACGCTTTTTCTTAAACCCATTCATGTCCATCTTTTGTCTTCAATGCTTTGCCAACACCATTCCTATCAAGATCACCAATATCGATCCAGGAGTCAGTCAATCATCAGTGCTCATCCTCGCTTCACTCATCCGCTGCACCCATCAGAAGCATGGTCACCATTATCACTCTCCGCTCCTTGAAACCATTCCATACGCACTTCCAGGGCACCAGGCATTCATAATTTTACTCTTTCTCCACTGTATTCTCCTTTCTGTCTCCTTTGCTGGCCTCTCCTCTTTTTTTTTTTTTTTCCGGAGGTTCTAACCCTGGAGCACCTAAGGTTAAGTGATTAGAAACTCTTTTCTCTATACAGTCTCTGATGGTTTCACACAATCTCTATATTTGTATACTAATGACACCAAAAATGATAGCTCAGACCTTGACTTCTCCCTCTGAACTTCAGACCTCTGTATCTAGGTGCCTACTCCACAGCATTTCCCTTGGGATGCCTAGTAGACATCTGCAATTCAGCATGCTCCAGATGGAATGCTCATCTTGCTCAAAATGGTGCTAGCTACAGTCTTTCCCCATCTTTCAAGTTGCTTTGGCCCAAATCTTTGAAGGCATTTTTGACTCCTCCTCTTCTCTCTCATCTCAGACATAATGTGTCAGAAAATACTCTTTATCTTCAAACTAAATCTAGGAGATAATTACTTCTCATCACCTCCATGGCTAACCCTCTGGTCTAAGTTGTCACTGTCTCTCCCACATGG